AATTTGTAACTGAGTATTTCCAAATTTTTTTTCTTGTTTGTAAGAGTTCGCGTGCTGTTTTTATAATGTTTTCATTGATGTCAAGACCTTGGTATAAAAACAAGACTAGCACTGTACTAATTTACCCCATGGTCTCCTGTGTCTTCCTTTGCCTCTCTCCTTGAGCAACTGGCATAGCTGCAGGACTGTTTACTCCACAGCTTATTTCCCCTTTATCTTTGATGTCCCAGGATGTCAAAGGCTGTGAATTTAATATTGATTTTATAAAGTACTTTTACTGTAACATGTCAGTTAGGATTAGCTTCAACCTCGAGGAAGCTCAGGCAGTGAGCTGGATTTGCACGCAATGTGGCTCTCCAGCTCTCAGACTCTTTTCCCGAGCGAATGCTTTATTTATAAGAGTGACAGTGTGCTGTGAAAGCAGGGATAGCACACAGCCCCCAGCTATCTCTGTGTCTTGTATACACAACGTCAGTGCCCTGTGTATACATTAGGCTTGAAAATGTAAGTGGATCAGAGAGACGTATCATTTGCTGGTATGTAAACAGACAGATGAGTTTATAGATCGCATTAAACCCCAGTGGCTGTAACTAGTGGAAGAGACTTCCTGGAGTCCCATCCCCCCTCTCACTCCTCCTTGTTCCTCCTTACACCATCAGCACCGACACCAGGAGCTGGACTCAACTCCTTTAGTGAGCAAATAAAGGTATCTTTCCAAAGGAGGAGTCATTGCTGAAGAATATTCTTGCTTGATCTTGTTCCCTTAACCTTTTATTGCTCCTTTGAAATGGCAGGTGCTGCTGACGGAGTGTATTAATCCACAGATTAATCCGCAAAGTTTTTTTATACGTCAGTATGGATCCTCACTCAGTCCCAACAAAGGTGGRAAGTTTGTCTTGATATCATCCTTTTTTTTTTCTGTCTCTTTTTCTCTCCTTTTTTTTGCTTTATCCTTTTGAGAAAGAACAAATTTGCAGTTGCCATATTTTATATCTAAAACAAAATTAGAGAGCTGAGGTTTCCTCAAAGACTGATAATGCTGAAGCTTGGAGTTACACTCTCAAGGGAACAGTAACCAATTTTCTTGTGTGTTGAGCAAATCATGCCAACTGATTACACACYCTTAATGAAAGATTAACTATTTCATGCATTAGCTTTTTGTGAGCMCATAGAACAGCTGTGCACTTGGGCTCTGTCTGCCCCATTCATAGCATGTTTGATTTCTCATAGCTCCCCAGTTGCTCTGATCTTGCCTTCCTCCTCAGCTGGGACTTGAGTTAGCTTAGGTCTTCTGAGCATTTTGAAAATATTTATTGTTTGGTTCATTAATTATTCTACAAGCCTTGACTTTGATGCCTATGTACACTTACGGCAAAACATAAATTATAAATAATAATGAAGTTATTGTTCTTGATATAGAGCATTAATGGCTGCTTATAAAACATCATTCATGTTGTGTATTATCATTCTTTTTCATTTAAAATGTTGCTCTGCCTAGGTATATATAGATATATAACAGTTTCAATTTCTTTTAAGCTATTTTCTTAAAATATAAGACATTCCAGGGTAAAACCTGCAAGGGTTAATAAATAATATTGCTGAGCTGTAGTAACTGAAGAAAGAAGGATTGGTTAAACTTTTTTTTTTTTTTCTTGTTTTGTATAATGTGACAAATAAAGAAACTACAAAGCAACATCTGTGATTTCAGTTGTTGCAGGGAAGAAATTTGAAGCATAAAACTGAAATCAACTTTCACGTGCATGCAGGTATGCACACATATACCCTTCCAATTTTTACTGGAGATTAGACTACTTTTGGTGAAATCAGACAAACATTACTTTGGTATAGACAAGGTCACAAAATTCTTTGCGTAAGTATTCATAAACTGATAATGGGTTCAAAAATCTTCAAATCAAACTTTAAAAATAGTATGTCAAAACTTAAACCCAGATTTTCCTTGGTTGTCCATTTGCCTGCTTCTTAACCATGAGAGAGACACTGCATGGAATTAGCCCCAGAAAATATTTTATATATTTCTCTGCAAGATAAAAAGACAAAAAGATTYCCAACCTTATGTTAAAGTGAAAGTTCCACAGTATTCTAGATACCAGTGCGTAGAATTATGGACATATGTCAACCAAATAATCAAACGAAGTCTAAAGCATTTTGAGTGCAACCAGTCACTACTGCCAATGTTACAGTCAGCCCATAAATATTTTATATACCTGAGAACATCACCTCTTCTGTTTTCTTTGCATTAGGTACATGATGTATCCTCGCTAGTTTTTTAGAACTCAGTTATTACTTTTTGTCTGTCCACATAATATGATGTGCTACTTTTTTCAGAAAATATAGGTAGTAAGAAAATTACCTTCAGAGGTTCTGGCTATATTTAATAGGGTATGTGCTAAACAAGTAAGGATAACTTGTCAATCTGTAGAAAAATGTTAGGCAAATTTTCATTCCATTTTTATGTAATTCATGCATATAAGGTGTGATGAGGTATCTGTGAGAATTTGCTTTAAAACTCAATGAAAAATTATGAAATTCAAAACTTTGTAATTAATTTTTGTATTACTAGAAAAAAAGCAATTAGTTCACTGCAGAGAAAATTCAGTATGCTAAAGCTGACCGTTTTGTAATCAAATAAAAATCTAAATGACAACACTGTTTAAAATACACATTTATATTTTTCAGAATTTGCACACAACMCATTATATTAAAGTTCTTTCATACAGAAGTTTTCCCTGAATAGCATATTGACTGCAGCACATCAGAAAAGATGGACTTTGGAGATGTCTCATTCCACAAAAACAGTTTATGCATAAGTGCAAATCTATTCACAGAATACTTTTTTTGGCTTTTATTCAGATATATGTATTATTTCAAGGAAGCATATACCCCAGGGATTTTTAACAACCTGGTTCTTATGGGCAGTTGTGGATGTCTTCTTATATTTGCATGCTAAAAAGACATGTAGAAACAAAATTCCTTCATGTATTGAAGCCTGAGCAGTCAGCTGTGAGTTAGGGACTCTTGTGCCACAGACAACCAAAGAGTGACAAAGCTCTTAGTGGACTTCCAAGGGTTCATGCAGGAAGTTTCCAAAAATGTGCTAATTTAATTTCATAGCACATTTATACASTATGTAAATGCTACTACTGTTTTGTCATACAGCTGCTGGCAACACAGATAGTTTAATATTTCCTGGTATCACCCAAAGATTCTATGRTGTCATCAAGAATTGAATGAAGGTCTCCTGAACCTTTGTTCACAGCAAACTGTTTTGCTTTCATCCAATAATCTCTGACTGCCAGAGGCTATTGCAGGGTGGCCTAAATTAAAGGAACCCTGAGTTAGTGTTAATTTGTGCCATAAGGTCAAAACAGGCTCTATTAACCCGAGGGCTTTGTTAGCACAATAGTGGCATAGTCACTCTTGCTATTTTTTTCTTGTTGTTCAACTGAGTACAACCTAGACAGTCATAAAGASTGGATATTGAGGTGTTTGAAATTCTTTGTCATTAAAAACACTTGAACAACAATTTATACCAGCAAAGTTTAAGCTAAGGCTGCTAATGAGTTGTTTATGTTTTGGGGTGTGTGGCAAAAATACTGTAAAAATAGCTTGTTTCTACACTATTATTACATGTCTACATTTTTAACAGAAATTACTGATAATGAAACAAATTATACTACTAACTCTTCACCATTCTTTTCTTTATTTTTTTCTCAAGAATAGTACTTCCAGAATGCTGATGGGACCACGAGKGCTCAAAAACAGCTTATGAGGTGCATAAGCATGGTTAATTTAAATAGCTGTTCAAAAACTGAACAAGTATTTATAAACATTGTCTTGAAGTGTTTGACCAGCTTCTCCTAGACATACTTCAATAATACACATGTGGATGCATTTCAGCATTTATAACATCAGGTTATGTATACATATATGCATTTTCTCATTAAACTATGAAGTGGATTTGTCCCATCTGCCAGGCTATTGTCTTTATTCATTAACAAAGATAAATTTAAACACAGTGATTACCTCAAAAATGCTATAGCTGCACAGTTCAGCTGCAATGCTATCTTCAGCGCTTAGGGGCAAATCTTGAGTGTCTGCTCTGACTTCTGCATTTGTGCTGCTTAAAAAGCATTGGTGGATGGATGGATGAGAAGGAAGGCTGGGATCTGGCAGAAAAAAACGATGGGTGCCCTTCACAAAGAGAAAACAAACATCTTTCCTAATGTTTCAGGGAATTAAGTTTGAAAATGTGGTTGTAAAACCTTTGTGGTTTTTAAGTGTAGTGTACTAAAAACAAGATACAATAACATTATCTTGTATGTATGAACTACATGTTTGCATGTTAGTTACCTAAATTTCAAGAATGACTCCAGTTTTCATCCCAAACCCGTTAGGAAATTGTCAGTTCATGGAGATTTTGCTTTGTGTGTTGGGACTTGCCCTTCTTGCAATCAGACCATGCATGGATTTATATTTTCCCTGTTGCTTCCTAGAGCCACTGACACAAGCTACCATTTCTCTTTGTTCACCAAATTTCTGCTTCTGTGGCTTTTAAATTCTTTATTTWTTCTTTTATTTTAATGTATTTTCTGTTTCCATTTTGCTTCATATTTTGCCCAATAGACATTCTTTCTTCCTAAATGGATCAGAAGTGAGAAATGAGAGACTAAATTTGTATGTCCCCATTGGGGCCTTCTTCAGAGGGATTCTTAGAATGTCCTGTCTTCTCAAGGACAGGATAAAMMCCGTTTTTTCATGMAAAACTAATATCTGAATAAGAATTWATAGAGGAGGGATATCAAAACACACCTGAAAATATAGACATTATTTTCAGATCCCTTTGAATCCTGCAAGTGTTTTCTAGCCAAGTCTTCTTTTGCTACTCAAGTCTTCTTGGCTTTGCATACTGTGCTAAAATTAGCTGCATCCTTGAAAGCTTTATGAAATGTCATTGGATATATTCAAGCACTTACATGTTTTGATGTTTTGCCTTGTTTTGAGCAGTGTAACTTAATCAGCAGTCATGTAGCCACATCCAAGACAAATAAAATAACAGCCTTGTGYTCCATTTTTTATTAATTTAGATGGAGCTCACTCTGCCTTCCATTGCACTTGTATTCATTTCTTTTTTCTACAAACAAGAACAGAAATATATTTTTCATTATCAATTAAATAATATATGTAATAATATCAAGCCACTTTCATCAAATTCCATATGATTATGATAAACATTTGATATTATATTCAATTTGGAGTCTCTCCTATTCATGTCATGTTGCATTTTTCAAGATTTGGAAGGCTAACCCCATGATCTAGCTTAAACAGATGCAAGTTAGGATTATAGCCAAAAATATTATGAACCAGGAAATGTATTACTGGTTAAATGAGTGCTGTGAGAATGTCTCCTTWAATACCTTAAAAAATAAATCAAACATGCTACTTTCATTTTCAGAAATCAGTTGCAAAGTGTTGYATGCCAACCAGAATTTTGAGTGTTGAGGCCTTTATATTATTCTAAGAAAATGCATAATTTGCTTTTCAGAAATCCAGTTGCTTCTTTCATATTMTCCATCTAGGCTTCAGCTGAAGAGTATTTCAGTAATAGCCCTTGGAATTACCAAGAAAGAAATAATGCGCAGCTTTTCCATACACAACCWTAACTTAATAATAGAACCAGGTTGGAAGAAACATCAAGGGCCATCTAGTCCAACCTTTCTTGGCAAAACTGCWGTGTAGACAAGATGGCCCAGCATCTTGTCCAGCCAAATTTTAAAAGTGTCCGATGCTAGGAAATCCATAATTTCCCTGGGGAGATTATTCCAATGCCTGATTTTTTCTCACAGTGAACAATTTTACTTGTGTCAAACTGAAATCTCCCTAGGCATCTTGCCTTGATTTTTCTATATGACTCCTTGTAAGAAAAAAACAGTCTCTGTCTTGTTTTTAGCCACCTCTTAAATACTGGAGTATGATGATAAGGTCTTCCCTGTGTCTTTTCTCAAGGCTGAGAAACCCCACTTCTCTCAGCCTTTCCACATATGACAGGCTCCCCATCTTTGTGGCACTCCTCTTGGCCATCTCCAGCCAGTCCACATCTTTTTTGTACAGCAGGGACCAAAACTGAACATAGTATTCCAAGTGTGGCCTGAAAATCACTGAGCAGAGTGGGACAATTACTTCCTCATCTCTGATGATGATGTCCTTGTTGATTCAACCCAGCACCCTGCTGGTTTCCTTTTGCACAGCAGTTCACTGTTCACTTCACTCATATTGAATCTGTTGTCCACCAGAACACTGGCCATTTTCCACTGAAATTCATCCCAGACCAGTAGATCCCAGCCTGTGCTGCACTCCTGGATTACATTTCCCAAGGTGCAAGACCTTACATTTGTCTTTGTTGGACTTGATAAGATTCTTGCTAGTTTTCTCAAAGTCTGTTCATTCATATCAGTCTCTTTTGCGTGAAATAAGGCTGAATCATAAAAGCTCGTTTTGAATTTACTGGCCTGATGAATGTGTGGCACATTTTATGTACAGCTGCAGTTTGCTAAATATGTCTGAAAGTCATTGCACCTTTTAATTGTCTGTACCAATTTCTACTCTATAAGTATTCCTTCTTGGTAGGCACATTTCTGAAGAGCAGAAAATAATACACTGTTTTTAAAATCTTTGTACCTGAGAGGTCTTATGTCTTTAAGGATGAAAGTTTTACATTTAACAGAAAATGCTTGTATTTACTTATCACAAACTGTCATAACACAGAAGAAAATTAAGCAGAAGGACAAATATGAATTTAAGCAGCTGGTATCTTGTATTGTAACTGAAAGAGGTGACTTTTTTTGCTATTTTGAAATATTCGTATATTTATCAGTTTTCAATATCATCTTATGTTCAGGTATAGTTATGAGAAACTCTCCTATACAGTTAAATACTTCCATTAAAATACAGTTAAGTAGTTCATATGCTRTAAAATACTATGATTATGCAAACAAACAACATGGATGAAATAGAAGTTTGGCAAACAGTGTTTTACAGCAGTAGTAATAGTGTTATTACAGCAGTGGTAATAAATGCAATTCCATGAGCAGGAATGGTAGAGCTGGAATAGAAATGGAAAAGAATGAAAATTCTATTATAGTTCCTAGCAGTTAGCTTCTTACTGTTTTCTGTACTATAACTGTAGGAGAAAACCAGGACCACCACTTTACTTCTGTACAAAAYACAGGCAGAGAAAGGGCTGATATTCAGCCACCAGAATGTAGAGTACAGAGAAGTGAGTGGTAGCAGACTGCCTAGACAATAGCTCAAATCTGTTCTTTTTGTGAAAAATCCAGATTCAGGATTTCAGCTCAGCTGATCTCTATCCTTGCAGTGGGTCTGAAAGACAGGATCGCATTTTTGGAACACAGATAAATTTAATGATTTCATGAATCRTCCACATATTTTAACCAGGGGTGGGTAATGAGTTACCTAATACTGAATTTTCAGAAAAGCATGGGATATTTGCTTTGGGTGGTGATATCAGAACCTCACAATGAAGCAATAGCTGAGATACACTCTTTTTATTCTGTGATCATTTGTAAATGCCCAGTGAGTGTAGGGTTAACTTGTCTTCCATGAGTTGAACAGATAATAGCAGCTGCCTGCCCTCAATGTAAGGACTGCCAAGSAGGCCAGCAGTGCAAGAAAGAAATACAGCTTGGCTCAGATGGCAAGTTACTTGCTCTGAAAGGGATTTTAACAGGAGTCATCTCTAAGAAGCCTTTTATATTGGCATACAATTGGTCTTGGTTCTAAGAGAAAGACTGACTGAGAGAAATCTTAACCTCTGCTTCCTAATCTTAAGAGTTACTTCTGCTGTTTTCCATGTGTTTCTTGATACACATGTTTCTTGATATGTGGAACCCCTTTTCACCTGAAATCCCTAAAAATAATCTGTTTAAAAGAGCATGTGTACAGATATCTATAGAYAAATTCTTGTGTTTTTGTTATACCTCAGTGCCAACTAAGGACATGAAAATTAACAGATCAATAGGAAAATATATCAAATTTAACTTCCTTAATAATAGCATTGTGTTCAATCACTGAGTGATGAAATAGTTTTGAAAAAATATTTATTACCCATTTTTAAAGTATGAAGCCACATTAATATTTGCAATGRTTATTATGTTCTCTTCTTCATATATATGGAGTAAAGTGTTATTTTCCTTACAAATATGAACTGAAACTTGGCTGTTATGCTCCGKAAAATATATGTTTTGTTTTCCTTTTCAGGATGACAAATAACCAGTATTGCATGTCCAAAATAAAGTAAGTGTGTGTATATCACTTGTTCAATGTGATAACTTTGATAATACACGTCTTTCCTGTTGAAATTATGAGTACTATATCAATGATAAATTCAAATTTCTTTCACTATAGTCAAAAGATTTTTAGTAATAGCACATGACTATTATTAAGAATTCCTTTTTTAAAACAGATTCTTTTAATGCTCTGTGTTCATACATCAATTAGACTTAAAATGTAATATTTTTTTGTGTTTTCAGCCAAAATTCAACATTTGTAAACATTCTTAATGTTCCAGGCAGCAGGCATTATATTGAGGTGAATGCAGTTTCTACTGTATATAAGCTGTTTTTAAGGATTTCAAAAGTTCACAGCCTTTAAACCGTGGGATGAATTCTGCCCTTGGATAAGTGTGTTGAATTCTCCTTAAATTCAATGTGAGTCCTATGTGAATGACTCAGGGCAGGAAATGGCCTTTAAAAGGGACTGATTTGCCTTTTAACAATTCATTCACGACAAACAGAGGCTTTAATCAGTCTCCTGACTAATTTGCTGTTCAAGCAAAATAGTCAACCTCTGACATTAAGTTTGGAGAGATGATTAATCTTCAGTATAAACTGGAAGGGGRAACACTTCCCTGTGTAATGTTCTCTGCTAGAGACGTTTCTCTCGCAGGGGTTCAGCTGATGAGGCTGTGCCCCATGTTCAGCAGCATGAAGGAAGCAGTCTGGGCTAGCAAGGACATCAACACACACTGGCTATTGCATAAATGCCTTGAGGTTCTTTTCACCATTATTTCTTTTGCAGGGAGGTTGGAAATGGGGACACATTGGCAATATCCTCCCTATCCCAAAACTTCATATATATATATATAAATGTYCCATTAATGGAAATTGCTTTTGGAGTAAGATAAGTATACTGAATGGGTTAACCAGACAAAAGGAACTGGCTTATAATACCTGCCATCTATGATTATTATAATCTTGCAGACAAATATAATTACAGTGTGTGATGTCTGTTTATGTCTGTGAAAGCTTTGATTGTGTTCTCTTGTCTGCATTACACTGCAAAACAGCATMAACATTTATATTGTAACTCTAATCCAGTGCTAATGCCCTGAGCTATGGGTGTCACTTCAAATTGCCAAGATTTATGTGATACTTATATCTGCCTTTTTCAGGTGAGTTTGACCCTAGTGCTCTTAGTGTTATACTGATTTGTAGAATTGAGAAGATGATTAATGGGCTGCAGAGAGGAGTGAAATTACTTATATAACAGCACATATGATAAAATCATAATTACTCTAGCGTTTCAGTATCTTGTACAGAAATTAAGAGACAGGCTGTAATAACTTTTTAATGAATGAAATATTAGTATAGGACCTCTTGAATTTTAGAGGCAGAGTAGATTTTACAGAACAAGTTATATTCAAATTCATCATAATATTTTACCAGTGTGCACAACGCATTTAAAATAAAAGCTCTTAGGTTGCACAGATCACACCTCTACTCTATTYTTAAAAAATTCTAAGCATTGGAAGGCAAGAACCCTAAAAAAATAGATAGATATTACACTTACTTGTATTTTTTTTTAATTTATGTGTACTTTAGGAGGGAAATAGACTGACAAAATTGAACAGGATTTGTGTGTAGTTAATGCCATCTTTCAGCTTGAAATAAAGTTGAACCTTTGGTCTAGAGACAGCCAGTTCAATAGTGTCATGGTTTAACCCCACCCAGAACCAAGCCCCACACATCCACTTGCTCACGCCCGCACCAGTGTGATCAGGGAAAAAATCAGAAGGGTAAAAGCTGGAAAACTCATGGGTTGAGTTAAAGCCCGATT